TCTAAAGGGATCGTAACCCACCCGGTGTAAGAAAGGGACAGTTGCAATAGTAAGTAGCTGCTAGACCTGGGGTAACGGAGGGGTAATTTTCATATTAGTCTTATTGTATGGTGCAACTCGTTCTCTTTACGGGGAAACAGTGAGTGTTTTTGTTTTTTGGGGTTTTGCTTGTTTTCTTATTCGCTTTCAGTTTACCTGATTATGTAATCTTGAAAGATTCAGGGTTTTTTGTTTGTCTGTTTCCTTTTAGGTTTTTGTCATAGGGCATGTACGCTGGCCATAGAGAGGGAAAGTGAGAAAGCACCCCCCAGGAGGGATGGCCATCCTTTCCTCCAGGTTCTGGGCGCGCGCGTGCAAACATGCACACACAGACGCACGCGCGCGTGCAAACCTGGCGTGGTTTTCCAGCTGCCAGATCTGGGACTTGAACAGTGGTCGACCTAGTCTTAACCACCACGCCACCTGCTGGCCCCTGTTACACTTTTGCAAGAACTCAACAGTCCTGATGGCATTTTTCTGGTTTTTTTTTTTTTTTTCCCTGAGTTACTGTGCTCGTCTCTCATCATTTAAAATGTGGGATCTGAGGCAGATTCCAAAAAACTAGATTCAGCTTTGGGAAATGGCCTGGGCTGCTTGGGGCGGAAGGGTGAGGCGAGTACAAGTTTTGTGGCCTGCACTCTTACCTGCCCTTCCCTACAGTTAGGGATGCAGGAAGTGGACATGACATCACCTGTAGCCACGGAAGTCCTGGACCTCATGCTGGTGAGGTTTACTCGGGGTAGTGGTGTCATCTCCAGAGAAGGAAGGATGTGAGCCCCTCGATGACAGCATTGGGTGAGACGCGGGCCCTGTCGTGCGCCGTGCGGTTTTGAGTGGCACGTCCTGAAACCTACTCTTGCCTTAGCGACTGCAAAGTACCTGCTCTAAGAATTCGACGTAAAGCAGTGCTGGTATTTACGGGGGAGGTAATGTGACCGAACGGTGTGTCGGAGGCCTTTTTAAGTGCTGACTCTTCCCCGCGTTATATTTACACTTAAATGTGACCCGCACACCTGGTGCCGTTCATGGCAGCTCCTGAGCGGTGCTCTCGTTTATCACACGCCCCCTCTGGCCCCCCGTCTCAGCCAGAGGAGTGGAGGGACAGTGAGATGACCCAGGATTAGCGTGTGCGGCCGAGCCCTGGCCTGCCCGCGGCAGCATCGTTGTCACGCACACAGTAACTGGAGCGCCCAGAGGCGTGCGCGCAAAGCCTCTCCCAGCATCTCAGGTGGCGCCCACTCCCTTCAAACATCGACCCTGTGTGTCTTCACCGGACGCCTTTGTCATGCCCGGCTGCCGTTTCTAGCTGTTGAGTGAGAACTCTGACTTCAGAATCTGCAAATCACAGCTCAGGCAGCGTGACGGCTTTTGTCACCCTCCTCCCTCGGTCCACCCTGGGAGATGCGGGTCACGGTGCTGGTGATTGGAAGGAGTGCTGGAAGGGCAGACGAGGCGGCTGCTGTCGGCAGAGTGCGGGATTGTCACCGGGCGGGGCTGCACGGCGTGTCCCCCGTGCGATCTGGATGGTAAGAAGTCGTGAAAGAGGCCTACACGGACACACAAGGTCCTTTACGGGACCGTTAGATACTGGCAAGAGCCTGGCACTCCTGAGCAGCAGCATCCAGCTGAAAGCCGACAACCCCAGGGCAAAACCCCACCCGTTCTTGGCCGAGCCTGTTACGTAAGTAAGTCGGTGTGGTTACGTAATACCACACAGACCCGTGGATTTTCTTGCCAGAGTGACAGCTACAGATTGGGCTTGACGGCAAGGCCCTGCTTTATTAATAAGCCTAAATGCTGGTATGCAGATTATATAAAGCCTCGGAAGAACGACAGCTGTCATTTTTGGCCAGAGTAAGGAATGCCCTGGGGTGGGACGGGCTTTGCTTTCTGAGATCTTTTCAAACACTCGACAGGGTCGCGAGGAATTGTTTTCCTGTGACCATTGTGAAGAAACTTTGAGTGCGAAATAGCCATTCTTGCCATTTCAAGGAAGAAACGTTCTAATGCTGAACTCAACTACACAGACCTTTCTGAAAGCCATATTTAAATCATACATTCAAAAAAGAAAGAGCAGCTGTTTCCTGGGCTGCTGTGTTCATTTTTGGCCAATTGTTTTAGTGTGTGGGTATGCAGAGCTGAGCTGTATTTCAAGGCGCTGGGTCTGGGGCTTGAACTGTGGTCTGCCATGTGGGAATCCAGCACCTTCACCACCACACCGCCTGCTAGCCCCAAGCAAAACTTTTTTGTTTTTTTGTATTTGTTTCTTCCATGAGAGAAAGAGACAGGGCAAGAGAGGGCAGGGAGAGACTCCCAACAGCATCCTCACACGACACCCACCCTCAGCCTGGGCAGCCTGGGTCGTGGGGACGTGTGTAGGCACACCGTGTGCCTGTGGGAGTCTTGGCACACAAACCACAGGCCTTCCCCTGTGGGTCCCTTTGGATTACTCTGCACTGCCATCTGGCCCCAGCAATACTTTCAAATTAAAGTATAGACACTGATTCTTAAGACGTACGCTATTGTACAACGGCCAGACTACAGTTTATATGCTGGAGACCAGAAAACCCTGTGAGACCCGCTTTGCTGTAGCCTTTGCTCTATTGCAGTGGTCTGGACTGAAGCCTCAGCACCTGGAGACAGGCCGCATTACCAGTGAGAGGGCTGGCACTGGGCAGCTTAGCAACGCAGCCCAGGGGGTCCTGCCAGGAAAGGCCTCCTCACGAAGGATGTCACCCAAGTGATTATTCCATCCAAGAGCCGTTTCATCAAGTGTTCTCTGTGTCCTTGTTCTCAGTAACCTTGCAGTTTGATGTTGGGCACGGGCAGTGGTAGCCATACCATTCCCCGCTGCCGTCAGCAATGCGTGAGAATTCCAGTCGCTCCCTCTCAGGGCCGGTACTCAGTATTTGCAACCACGTCAGCATTGCCAGTCCGGTGCACGCGGGGAGCCCTGGACCCTCTCCGGCAGCTCACTGATTACGAGTGACGTCGAGCACCGTTCCATGTGTTTGTTGAACTACTTTAAATGTCTCTGCTGCAGAGCGTTGATTCAAGTTCCTGGCCTGTGTTACTGCTGGATTGTCCTCCTACTGGTGTGTGGGGTACTTTATGTGTTTTGAGTTAGGGCCTTTTTTCAGTTCTACAGTCATGCGTGATGACAGGTGCGTTCTAAGAAGCAGGCATTAAGCTGTTGTGTTGCCGTGAACGTCCGAGTGCACTTACACAAACCTCAGTGGTCTAGCCTGCGACGCCCCTAGGTTGCAACCCTGCAGAGCATGAATACTATAGGCAATGCAAATCCCCATATCTAAACATATCTAGACACAGAAAATGTATACTAAGGGGTCAGGAAGTGGCATGGTGGCTAAGGCACTGGAACCCCACGTGGCTGACTGCGGTTTGAGTCCTGGACCCAGGAGCTTGAAGATCACGCTAGGCACATGTGGCATGCATGCCTAAAATCCCAGGAGGAGAACGGAGAAGGGATTGCAGCCTGGCCACCCTCCCTGGAGGGTGAGTTCTTGCTTTCCTTCTCACTATCTCTCAGTATCTCTCTGTCTCTCTCTGGTGAGCACACACACCCTGTGGCCCAAAAAACCCCTAAACCTTAACATAAAGAAGGTATAGTAAAAATATAGTATAAAAGATTAAAACAAAAAGAAAAGAAAAGAAGAAAGGACTCACAAAGGACACTTAGCACGCTTAGGACTTGAGGGGCTGGGAGGCGCCGGCACATGCTTTTCGTATCTTCACCTTGTGTCCAGTACTCTCACTAAATTTTCTGAAAATTTTCAATTTTTTTTTTCAGGTTTTTTGCCATAGGATGTGTCTGCTTGGCAGAGAGAGACAAATAGAGATTGAGAGGGAAAGTGAGAAACCACCCCTGGAGGTGGCTAGGCCGCAATCCCTTCTCCTCCATTTTCCACTTGTCTAGGGATCTGAGGCATGTCTGCACATGTGCCAGGCAGGATTTTCAGGTCACCAGGTCCAGGACTCAAACTGCAGTCCGCCACATGGGAATCCACCACCTTAACCACCACATCACGGACCCCAAGAATTCTAATAATTTACCAACAGATTCTTTTGGATTTTTACCTATACAATTGTATTGTCTGTAAAAATGAGAGTTTAAGCCCAACCTGGTGGTGTAGTCGAACCAACTGAACTGTTGTGCTGGAAGCCAGGGGGCTGACATGGGTTCGGATACCCAAGTCACCTGAAAACACCCAGCATCTGTGTGTTCCTGGGGCCCTGATGAACCGGACAGTGTGGGAAGGCAATCGTGGATGGAGAGGCCCTGCTGAGGGAGATTTTTCTCCCTGTAGTGCATACACACATGTTGTCTATCATAAACTTAACTTTAAAATTCATGCCCTCAAGTCCAAACAAACAAACAAAAAGCCCTCCTTAAAAACACCCCAAAAATGAGAATTTTGAGCCAGTCTATAGCCTGGTCGTTAAGGCCTCTGGATCCCACTTGGCCAACTGCGTGGTTTGAATTCTGAGCCCAGCAGCTTAGAAAACCACGTCAGATGTGTGTATGTGCATGCCCAAAATCCTGAGAGGAGGGAAAAGAGGGAAAGGGGGAGAAGGGATTGCACGTGACCATCCTCTATGGTGGGTTTTTCTCACTTTCTCTCTCTCTCTCACTCTCTCTATCCCTCTCTGGCAGGTGCACATGCCCTCTGGCAAGTTAAAAAAA